TAGAATCAACTAAGTAGAGTAACTGGGCAGTCATTACGAAAAGAAAGACGACGAAGCTTGATATTCTGGCTGTAACTTCTCAATTTTTCATCTTTTTTAAATTTTCTTCAAAAATCATCTTGAAAAATATTTTCTCTACGGGCTGATGAAATTTATAAATCAAGATCTTCTAAGTACACCTATTTGCCAGATGTTCCTTAATCAGTATTCGATTCATTCTTGATGAATCGAATACGTAATCTCGCAGATGCAATAAGAATAAATCTAGAATTATTAATGACTTCTGCTATCATTAGTTAAAATAAATTTTCAAATGATGAGTTCAATTTTTTAGTGTTTTTTTTTATCATTCAATAGTTTAAAGTCTTTTCTATCATTCTGTACTAATCTTAAGATTCTATGTCATAATTATGGTTTTCTAGCAAGCTTGCAAAAACAACTCTAAAAAAAGATTTCAGGATGTGGACATAAGTTTAATTTTAGTTCTTTACACTCAGGTCAAATTAAAAAGAATGATAAAATTTAATAGTCTATTTTAAAAATATTTCTTTCATTTCTTTTTAATGTATTAACATAGGAAAAAATCATTCGAAAAGAAAAGAAGAATAAGTATCGAACATTACCTTTTGTTAATATTTTATATGAATATATATTTATTCTGATGATGACTACAGTATATAAACTAATGAAAGAAACCTCTAGAACATTATACTCTAATTTAAATAGGATATAACTATGAAATTAGTACTATTTTTATAATATATTGTTTTCTAGAGAATTTTTCGATTTGTTTTTACTGGCAATCTTACTTTTCATTTCAGCAAAGAACACAAAATTAAAATCCAAGATAAGTAAATCCATAGGCAAGATTATGACAAAAAAAAGTGCGAGGTGAAATATACCTTTTCTGAAGGATTCATGAATTTCATCAATAAGACTTTCTCTCATTGCTGAGAAACTAGGGTAAGCTTCTCTGAAGTATGCCTTTCCCTAGTGCAGACAACATATATTTTATTATTTTTGCTAGATACTTCTTTAAGATTAACTTTTACTAATAGAATTTGTATTTAATGAATACATATAGGTAATATGGAAACATAGTATTCAAAAAATCTATTTAGATGATGTCTTCGTTTGATTCTAGTCAGTATTGAACTTCTGCTTATGCATAACATTCTAAAAATTACATTCATTAGTTACATATATTATAATGGATCATGAAAATAAATCAATATTATATAAAGTATGAACAAAAAAAATGATAGAAGCTTTAAAAAAAAATTAATTACAAGCATACATAGAAATAATTTATTCTAACTGTATTCTTACAATATCTTGATGTAGTTTATTCTTTTTCAATCGAATATCTAACGGACACTTAATCTTGTTTTAATCAGTTACAAATAGTGATATAATTAATATATGTCTTATTTTCTATCAAAATAAAAAAAAAATGTTTTTGATACCTGTTAATATAAGAAATAAATAAATAAAGCCAATACAAGATATATATTAAATTTTTAAGCAAAGTCTCTTGTTATTAAAAATTCATTTGAATGACAGATTTTTGTCAATGTTTTCTAAAACTCATTGGTTTCAAATTTGATCTCATCTTATATATTATCGGAGCAAAAGATGTTCTCATGACGTCTTTTTAAACTGTTGAAAACCACAGATCGATATCTAATGACCTTCTCGATCTCTTCAATACTTCTAATCTTCACGATAAAATTAATTGAAGAAGTTTTTTAACAGATTTAACATCGCAAAAATGTGATCTATGGCTCGTCTAACATGACGTACCCAATTTAAAGTACTTCGTCAGACAAGTCTAATATCAGCTTAGAAACCTTAATAATACAAACAATTTATTTTTAAGATCAATGAAGAAAAATTAAAAAAACTATTGAAAAATGTTTACTGTCGAATTCTCCACCAAAAAGAAGTTTATTGAATAATCTTTTTTGAATCTACAACGTGAGACTAATTCATTTTTTTACGTACATATCAAGTGAAAAGTATTAATAAAAATTCTTTTTTTTTTGAGTTTATTGCTTTTTGTAGCAATCGACTATATTTGTATTATCTTTCATGACATTTTTTATCTGTCGATTGTGTAATGAAATTGTCATTTCATTATTTGTACAAAATTCAAGATAGTGTCTGATAGTATAAAAATGAAAAATGTTTTAAGAAAACTTGTCAGTTCCGAAATTTTTCGAATCTTCAACCAATAATCAAACAATACTTTAATATTCTCAATACAATTTTCTATTCGAAAATAGAGAATCACTTCGAAGATACGAGATGAATTTGATAGATTCATAATGGAAAACTCTCTTATGTTCATCTGCTATCACCAAAAGAAATTTTTATCGTATTCATCTCGATTGATAGAATACATATGATATTTTATTGATGAACCATTTTTAAAAAAATAAACCAAGAAGTTCTCGATATGAAATTTAATCTCAATTAGTTAATAGTTTCTTATTCAAGACTATCTATTTAAATAGTGAAGTTTCTAAATTCATTAAAAATGAAAAGAATACTATTACTTTCAATAAAAATGTAAGTTTTAGTAGATTTTATACTATGCAATGAACACACTTTTATTCTCTTCTTCTCTATTTTCATTTGTATCTATGCTAATAATACTATACATTCTTTCGATATATCACGATGTTTTTTGATCAAAGTTACACTATTCCATGAAATTGTAATTGTATTGTATGACTTCTTCAAAATTATTCCAATACAAGTAAATACCAAATAAATTATTATAGTTGATATTTTATTTTCAAAAANAGAGAACGGGAAGAAAGAAAAGAACGAATTTTCCTCTTTAACGAGATTATCGTCCACGTATTAGTCATCAAGACGATATCGAGAGGAAAGAAAAATTTTTCATTGGCTTCATCGATTCGATCAATAGAGACACAGGAAGGAGAGATGGAGCAACATACATACGTTTACTGTATTTTATTTTGGATTTTTTTTCTTGTTTGCAAATGTCACATTTTATTGTGCCATTATTCTAATGCTTAAATTTTTTTTATATTATTTTAAAAGGAAACTTTTTTTTACTTATATTATAAATAATACTTGACTATATTTTTTCGAAAAATTTTTTGACTTTTTTTCTATATTTTAAATTTAGCTTATGACTTCAAAAATTTAATTCTCTTATTTTTTGCAATGTTTTAAATAGCAAAGAAATTTTAAAATAATAAAAAAATTTTTATCGAATATCTCAAACTAAAAAAGTAGCAATATCGAAGTCAAAATATGTTTTATCTAAAAGATACGATGTGTATATGCATCTCGCTCTATCTTTCGTTGATTTTTTTCTATTGGCGGAGTAATACGCTCCAATGAACTTTTTTTCGGGTAATAATAATTGGCCGAAATTTCGGCCTACGGCCTACACGGCCTACGAATTCGATTCGTTCTTGAGAAGTGTTAAAGGAACCAATACGCGATGTTCCATAGTTTACCTTTATTTGACATATAGTGTATAAGAAAGAAACTTACGTTTTTTTTTTATTCTAAGCCTATATTTATACGAATTAATGTAAATATGTAAAAGAAGAATATTCTGTATAGCACGACCTCTTTTCATTGATTTTACTATCAGTTAATCTTTTTTTCTCTAGTTTCATTTCTTCTTTTTTCTACTTTAATTTCCATTCAGAACCCTGTTAACATTTAAGATTTAAATGTATTAAAACTTAATCAGAAATACTATGTATAAGTTCCTCTCATAAGAAAATATAAACTAATTCGATAATGTTTAAACGATTTTCATAAATTTATCTTATTTAAAAAGTATTGATGACATAGTATGTTTTAAAGCAACGTTTGTGCATTTAATTGTTTTAGATTTACAAGTACTATTTATCTAGGATTTTTTTTGAATTGTTATATATTGGAATATATTTTGAACTTGATTATGAGTACAGATGATTCAGCATCTAATATATGTAAGGCTTATATGAAAATATTACTAATTAAAAATTTCTTGTCATTTAGTGATTACTCAATCACATAATAAATTAAGTTTGAACGATCTTAATTATGCATTACAAAGTAAAAAAAAACTTGAGAAATTACCAGACAAAATCGAAGTGAATATTATCTATTGTCTTGCACTTGCACCAAATACTAGGGGCAAGCTTTAATCTCTTCATTCTTCTAGTAGAATTATGTTTCGTGCATTTAGATGCCTATAAGTACGATAATTATTCTTGGAAAAATGTACGTTCAACAGAATATCCGAAAAGAAATCCACAATTTACAAAAATTTATTATTCGTGTATAAACTCGGACAAAAAAAAAGATGGTCGTTGTGTGAAACACGTCTTCATTTCAAAAAAAAACAATCTAGATGTTTTGGTTTATTATCAAGGTAAACTAGTTTCATTTAGGACAAAATTACTCGTTGACAGATAAAGCCAATGGGACCTGTTAGCATACTTTACTGTATAAATCCATAATAGGAAATGAGCTTTATATAGACTATTTATAGGTTCTTGTATTTAAACACTTCCTTTCATCTGCATCGTTATTGTTGTACCTGTCCATACTTGTATGCGGTGTCTATAATTTTGACCAAAACCTTGATGCTAATATCCAAAAGTGCATTCGATATAGTCACTTATTCTGAATCATGCACAAGTTCTAAAAACTAAGCCTACGTTGCGAACTTATGTTGTCACCTGTAATCAAAGAACAAATAGATTTACAAGTGATGCCATGTTAAAGTAATCAGGCGATAGTTTCAAAAACTTGATTACTACATTACACAAATCTTGAGCATTAAGAAATTTGAAATAGTCAAATAGATTTAGTGAATTGTTTTCCCACTATAATATTTTTTTTCAGGAAATCTTGAGATTGCTACAAAGCACCCACATGGCAATTCTAAATTGAAAAATCCACATGCCTTACATTACACACCACAATCAACAATTCAACAAATCGATCAACTTGTAACGACAATGTCAGGAGCTACTGCTTATAAAACAATAATCGCTAAAAAGGGTGGTGTTGATGCTCCTCGTAATGTAACACAGTGCAATTATAGACGTCAAAAATTTTTGAACAATCAAAAAGTTAGCCACGATGAACTTTCAAATGTAATTCTTCTGTCGTACGAGTTGAACGCGTTTTACAAATTGCTACAATTGCAACCTGAAACATTAGTTGTTTTAATGCACGATCAAATGAAAAATCATTTTCTAAATGTTTCTGGAATAGCCAAAGAAATAATACCATTATATTATGATACTACATTCAATCTTGGTGAAATATACATTTCCGTATGGATATCAACATTAAATATATATATATATATTTCAATACACTTCTTTTTAGATACTGGCATTTCGAAACGTAATCTTCTCCGAACGACCAACACATCCATTAGCCATAGTCATGCATGATAGGAAGCTTCAAACGTGTCATGAACGTTTTGTACAAGTTATTTTCAATGAACTGCCAAATCTTCACAAAAAATGTTTTCTTATAACTGATGCTGAAGATGCACTAAAGAATGCTTTTCGAAAATATTTTCCAACAATGTGTCAATTACGTTGTTGGAATCATTGTTTGTCTGATATTAGTGCAGCTGCTAAAAAATATTTTTTTGTTGGAGAACAAACAAATGTTGCTGCTCATGGTGATAATCAAATGTGTAAAAGAGAAATTATTGATCATGTTATCGATACAATTAAAAATCTTTTACGTGCACAATCTTATGATGAATTTTATGAAAAATATAAAAGTGTTTGTTTTCAATGGCTAAAAGAATTTCTTGATTACTTCGAAACAAATATTTTACCTGTTGTTAATGAATTAGGTAATTAAACATATACTTCGTCGTTTTACTTTTTCAGGACCTCACATTTCTGAAGATATAGTATAAAGACTGAGATTATCATTTGATGACCAATGATTCAACAAGTCGACTTATCCTCTTGAACATTTTTAGTCGATGAACTATTCATTGACTTTTTTCCTCACTTGATAACTGAAGCTATATTTTGTAGTTATAAGAAGCAATCTTGAGCCCTTTTGTTCGAATAAAAAATAAGCCATTTTGGAGCCTGAATCTAAATAGATTACCAGTTTATTTGCACTTTTTAATTTTTAAAGGTGGATGGTCAAGTCGAAAATGGAATTTATTTAATGAAGAATCTGGAATAACAAACAATCCGATTGAAAGTATAAATGCTGTGTATAAACGTTGGCTTGGTTGGAAACAATTATCATTAGATGCATTGGTGCAAATGTTTTACTTAGTGATGGGATATTACGTGAATGAAAGTCGTCGTGGTCTTTGCTCTTATGGTATCTATAATATGTTTTAGTCGTCTTTAACACTGTTTGTAGAACTTATTTTATTTATTTACTTTTTTTTGTTTGCTATAGGTGGTTATCATTTAGAATCCGAATACAATGATGCCAAAACTGATGTTTCACAATTAACTCTTATTTCTGGTTATTCACCTGATGAGATTTTGGAAAAAATTAAATCTACTATGGGTATACGAACAACACCTAATGCATACGTTTGTCAAACAGGCGATGATGCATCATATGAAACTTGTGTTACTAACCTGGATAATATTAATATTGATGATAACCATAATAATGAAAATTCCACAGAGAAATCCAACGATAAATCAGATATTAATAATACATTATCTATTGATAAAACCTTTATTAATGATGTTCAACAAGCAACATTGACAAATACTAGTCGAGCTAGTCTTCTTCTTGAACAAAATTTGGTACAATATCATTCTGATACAAAAGCATTTACTGTTCGATCTCTTGATCGTTCTTCAGTTCATGCCGTTCATATGAATGATCCAAAGCGTCTGTTTAGATGCTCATGTCCCAATACTTTGCTTAATTGTTCGCATGTACTTGCTGTGAAACAATTTCTAGGTAAACTTCACACTGAAATTTTAAAAGGAAAAAATTTAATCTTTTCGTTGTACAAGGTATGCCATTAGAGAAATGTGATAATCAAGTTAATCTTGGCCATGCAAGAAAACAAAAACGAATCGAAGACAAAATCCCCAAAGCTGGTGGTAAACGTCCTCGTCGATGCGATAAACAATCAAATACACAATATACATCTCCATATTTTTCTGGAACACACAGCCGTACTACAAGTCATAGTGAAACACATCAACATAATTATGTTCCAGTTCAATTAAATTCATCAAATAATGCTCCAGTGGCACGTATACTGACAGATATATCAAACTTATCATCACCAACAACATTTAATATGAATGTTACTCCTAAAATTATAAAAGCTATTCGTTTTTTAACACCAGTCAGTCTTGGTATTTCACAACAGCAATCAGATCAAACTGTAATGCGTTAATTGTCATAAGTAATGGAAATTTTCTGCAGTAAGTTTCTATCAAAATATGAATTATTTTTTTTATTATAGTAGATTGTCGTATTACTCAATTTCCTACATTTGTTTCGATTTTGATCTTGCTTTTACAAATCATATTCAATCACTTTATCAGGTTATCATTCAACAGTTTTCTTTTTGAGACAGATGCAATGTGTTTCATAATAATTGAAACCAAAATATCAGTTTTCAATGACTTTTCTTTGTACATAGATGAAACTCTTATGTATATACAACATATGAGTAACTAAGATCACATATTTAATAAGACTTGTGTGCTATAGCCAAAATTATTCTGAAATACTTCACATGATAAAAATACGAGTTTTTGTTCTGAATTTCTATAATGTTGTTTTTTTCTTCTGTCGATACATTAGAATTCCTCATAGTGTATGTATAAAACAAAAAATCAAATCTCTTGAGTAAAAAGAAATCAACAAAAACAAGTCATTGATAACATATTTTCGTATTAATTGATTCTATTTATGTCTAGTGTTTTTAGTGCTATCGTGATGCTTTGTATTCTTTGATTGTAGTTCTTTTTCTTCATCTAGGGTCAACTTTCATTTATGATGTCTTGTACTTTAATGATTTTGTTGTGTATCTTTTGACAGTCAATTTCTTTTTAATTGTATAACTTTATTTATTTATGAAAGTGTAAAGCTTTATTTATGAAAATGTAAAGATTTATTTATGAAAATGTAAAGCTTGATTTAAGAAATCGATGACTCGTCTTTTTCTTTGTGATATAACGAAGAATTGAATTGAATTTAGAAAAAAAATTATTTAAAATCAATGTAAATGAATATTTTCAGTTAAAAATATATTTGTCACACGAAATAATAGTGCCTGTTTTCACATAATTCTCTGTTCCAGCATCCAAAATAAAAGTTAATTAATTTGAGAAATCTAATTTTTAAAAAATTGGTAAATTTCTCATAAAACTAAGGTAAAATTTTTGCAATTTTTTCGTAAAAAAAAAAAAAATTTATTTACATATTAGCAGGCAGAATGTTTATCATATAATAAATGGGTGACATCTAGTAAAAGGCTTTTTTTTTATTTTCGATTAATATTTGTAAAGGAAACAACCAATAGGCGAAGTAGGTCGCGTAGGCCGTAGGCTCAAAATTCGGCCAATTATCATTACCCCTTTTTTTCTTTCTTCTCGATCGATGTTTAAATTGACGAATGAGGAACAGGGTTGACGAAAACAAAAAAAATTCTTATTGTTCTTTCTCGTTCGAATAGGCTCGTATTCACGAGTGAATTCTTTCCTTTTCCTCTACATTAAAGTGCACAAAATGAAAATTTTGAAACATTTATGAAAAGATGTCGCTATTATCCTTTCCGTGCTGACCGTTAATAATTAAAGTGTCGTACAACACAAGAAAAAAACTGTAATAGGTTTCTGAAACTTTAGAGAAGGTAAAAGCCGCCAGTTTCACAGCTCGGCTGCAGGAAGAAAACATTTATTTGTATTTTTTGTTTTTATCCATATTGCATCGTATCATCATGACTTGGATTTGCCCTTTAGGAGGGGATCCAAAGGCGGAATTGGGTCAAAAGGGTGTCCATTCGATAGAGCTCGACGAGATCTATCTTGGTCCGTAGAGTATATGTTTTGGTCCCAACTGTGGGCGAATCCAGGTGCGAAATACTCGAATCCAGGCCGGCAATATCCTACGTAAACTATCATGAGAATGCATTCTGTTAGGATTCTCAAGCATCCTTAGCAAGTTTATATCAAATCGTTTTGGATATTAATTCATCGAATAGAGACCTTGGAATTGCAAAACTTTTATTAAACTTGATATTGAGAGATGAAGTTAACCTTTACTGCGTATGCATCATGATTGACACGAAAGTGCATTTGGTGAACTCGTACACTAAAAAAAGTATGTTGATCATCGAGCTGCAAGCGTCATATTTTTGCGCCTAATAATTATTAGTTCAGTAAAATGAAAACGATTTTTCACTTTTCGTATAGAATCTTTTTAAGTTCTGCAGAATTTATAGAATTTCGGATAAAACCTTCTGAGAACTTCTCAGATTCATTTGTGGCTCTGCATATGATGAACAAAGCCCTTTATGGCTTCGTTCAGTTTCCAAAAGCTTTGCAATATACTAAAGAAACCTTTGCCAGTTTGATTGTCAATGTAAAAGTTTCGTGTTTTCTATGCACAACCCTCACTAGTTCCGCAGTGTCCAAGGACTAAGATTTAGGAATTCTTTCAATGCCTAAAATTATGAGCTGCACCTACTAAATTTCCCGAGGAACTGAGAGTTGACACTCAAGCATTAGACATATCATATTGAGCTACCCCAATTTGATGCATGTCAGATCATTTCCTCAGTTCTTCTGGAACTGATCGTAGATACCTTCCAGGTATCTATCTGAATTCCTAGGCATTGTAAGCAGAACTGTTACAATTTCTCGGTTCCCTGGACTTTTCCACCTTGGGCGCAAATATTATATTGGCCGCGCCTTGTGTAGTACTTGCTTTCAAGGAGGAAAAAATCCGGCGAACAGAGGTATTGTAACAGTTCTGCTTACAGTACCTAAGAATTCAGATAGATACCTAGAAGGTATCTACGATCAGTTCCCAGAAAAACTGAGGAAATGATCTGGCATGCATCAAATTGGGGTAGCTCAAGATGATATGTGTAATGCTTGAGTGTCAGCTCTCAGTTCCTCCGGAAATTTAGTAGTTGCAGCTCATACGTTTAGGCATTGCCAAAAGTGTTCTGTACTTCTTGAATGTATCACCATTCATTAGTTGCTATTTTTATATGAGAGGGGTTTTTCCAGGTGCAAACGGATGTAAAATTAGTATAGCTGTAGCTGATTCACTTATGAAATAAGTCACACAATGCTGTCATTAAAACTATAAAATTAATTGAATCGAGTATGGCTAAAAGTGTTCCAAGTAGTTACGCATTAGTTGGCAAAATAACATTGCAAAATTTTTATAGATTCCTTTACATTTGATTCGGATCATATTGATATAGATGATGATGAAGATGAATTTGACAGTATCGATTGACTCTTGATTGTTTTGTAATTTGAAAAATAGTAGATAGTAAAGTATCCTGTTTGTGTGGTATTCTGGTTTTGTATTTTGGTGCGATGAATATTTATGAATGAACGAAATACGAAGTATTACTCTAATTATTCTCCTATATTTCAGTTGTTTATATAATATTCATGGAGATTTTCCGTAGAGAATAAGACAGGAATATTGCCATAGTTCTCATTTCTTTGTATTACATGAAACACTTTTCTTTAAATACTTTGGCGCATTTTTGCTTAAAAAAAGGAAATGAATGTGGACACTGTGTCTCTATAAAGAAAGTGTAAAAGAATTGTTTTAGATTGGTTGTTGAGTATGCATGTTTATTACGTCTACGAACGCTTATAATAACGTGACACAGCAAAAAGGGAGACAAAACAAACTATAGGGAACAAAAATAAGACTAGGAAAAAAGAAGAAAAAAGGAAAAAGATAGAGAGATACAAAGATAAAAAAGGCTGTAGGGGAAGAGTTCATTTACCAGCGTTTTCCATATGATTTTCAATGAATTGAATCCAGCGAATTAGGAATGACTGATGCCTATCCTTCATTTATTTCACTCTGGACAATCTAAAGTAGTGACCTATGTTTAAGCTCTTCTCTTTCTCGACTTTGCTGATGAAATGATCCTAATTAAATAGATCATTATAGAAGAGAGATTCACCTAGGTCAGATCTAAATGTTCGATTTAACCGTTTGTTAAGACATGTTGCCACATATGATTCTAATGGTCGTTGTTTTAATATAAATGGGATTTCATGTGCGGCGATAAAAGGCCATCTATGAACTATTCTCAACCCCACTCTAAATTTACGTTGTACTGCTACTTGTTGAGCGATTGGTAAGAGAGAGAAAAAAGGAAAAATCCATGCAAAGAAGGGAAAGCTATATGCAAAGAAGCATAGCCTCAATATCTTGGTAGTGATCTGTTTGTTTCTTTTCAACCATTTCAACTTTATATAAGAGCTTTTGATTTTTTCTATGCAATGGTCCACGGTTAGGGCGAGAGATAAATTGTCTGACCACTCAAATCCTAAATATTTGAATCTTTTCACACATTTCAGCTGGTTTCCATCCATGTATACTTGTACTTTAGCTTGCATTACTTGTGTATGAAACAATTGTACAACAGTCTTATCCACATTTTTTGGTTGCTTCCACTTCATGGAGTAATCGAAGAGATTTTGACATATTTCTGTTCCCTTCTTATTGATATATTCTAATATTTTTGGTAGACTTTTCTGAATTGGGGTTACGATAAGGGCACAAAGATCATCTGTAAACATGTGAATCGAGCGTGCGCTCGTGTAGCTTACAATATCGGAGTGAAAAATGATTAAAATGTATGGGCTCAGTGAGCTTTCTTGCGGAAGTCCTACATGAATTACAAATTCATCTGATTTGTGGCTTCCAAATTCTACATAGGCATTTCAATTATTTAGCCAGTTTATTATTAGTTTTAATAATTCAAGGGGCATTTTCATATGGTATAACTTTACAATAAGCCGCTCGTGCCATACTTTATCATATGCTTTCTTATAATCGACATATATACTGAGCGTTGGTACGTTTGCTGCAAGAAAGTTCTTTATTTCCTGATAAATTAATAGTAAACTCCCCCCCAGAATAGAAGGCCACCCCATATTAGAAGGCCACCCCCATTAGAAGGCCACCCTGAGTCATATCTGCAAAAGTCATATTAGAAGGCCACGACTTTCTAATAAAATGTTTGGATATTACATACATATGCGGTGGGAGTTTTATAAATATCTTAGCATTTTGAGAGATCATGCATGATATCCAGCGCATTCCTGTTGGGTTTTACTATAAATTTATAGTGATATGTTCACTTTCCAAAAGCAGTCAAAACCAAACAAANACAAAAGTGAAGTCGAATAATGAGAGTTAAGTAACTAGAATAAGAATATTTATGCAAGAGAAACATACTATAACGTAAAGTTATTAAGAAAATGAATACACTGTAAAAAAAAAGCGCAGAATAATCAACGCTTGCACTTGATTTTTTTTTCTATAAACCCTTGAAGGGTTTATGCGGACGGCATAAACCCTTTGAAGGGTACATGCGCCGAAGGGTTTTTGATTGCAAGGATATATGATTATGAAAAGCGTATATGAAGCTATTTTAAGGGTTTTGTATTTCATAATTTTATTCAAAGTGTTTATTATTAAACGGATAGGTGTAGATTAATATACGGATTTCGAAAATCAGTTTATTATTTAAGAAGCAAGGGTAGATTATTCTACGATTCGAATAAAGCTATTGTAATTCTACGGCAAAAGGTTGATTATTCTTCACTTTCAGAAGAAGCATTTATTATAATACCGTTGAGGGTAGATTATTTTACGATGTGACCAAAGGGGTTCATTATTCTACGATAATTTTTTGATTTTTCTTCACTTTCCCAACAAGCGTTTATTATAATACCGTTGATGGTAGGCTACTATACGATTTCATAAAAAGGGTTCATTATTCTATGACCAACAGTTGATTATTCTCTGCTTTCATTAGAAGCGTTTATTATAATACTGTTGATGGTAGACTAGTATAGATTTCATCAAAAGGGTTCATTATTCTACGATTGGTGGTTGATTATTCTTCTCTTTCAGAAGAAGTAACTGCTATAATACTTTTGAGGGTAGATCAACATGCGTTGTCACCGAAAGTATTCATTATTCTATGACCAACGCTTGATTATTTTCCATTTTCAGCAGAAGTGTATATCTTGATACCTGTGATGGTATATTATTATATGACCAAGGGTAGAGTGATGTATATTGTATCAATCAATTGTACAATAGGTCTCCCCTGTACTTGAGAATAACACATCGACTTTTAAAATGTTCATTGAGATTTCGTTAATTCTTTGAAGATTACGAGCAAAAAGAACTTAATTGCATCAACAATGCATTATAGTGAGAAATTTATATGATGCATATTTCTAGTTTTGGTAATTTATGCTTTCATCAAAATATTTGTTACACGGATTGTAGCAGTTCAGTTCATATTTTTAACACAATGGTTCACCCTATTGAGAACATAGAAAAAGTTTAAATTCTGCATTGCCTGAAGTGTTTACTATTTGATGTGATAAGCTGATTCCATTCATTGAGCCAGTAGTTGTGATCATGAGTCAATAGATATCAGCGCGTGAGAGGATATAAACACTAAGCTAGTAGATATTTGGCATGATAAAATTCATCGTGCTACAATTAATCTAGAAAGGTTTAGTATTCAATAACTAAGCATAGTTTGTTTTACGTTTACTTTTGACGAATTTATTATTCTACGTTCAAACTTCGAATTTCTGAAATTGTCGACGGAAAGGTTGCAATCCTATATTTTGATTGAAAATATGAATATTTATACCTGTTACGATTAACTATTACACAATGCGTAGTCTTAATTGTAAAAGGCCTTGTTTTTTGAGCATGGTATTCAATTTTTTTATGAAACTTGTGTAAAGTGAGCGACAGGATTATTTTGATTCAAAGTCTCTCACAAATCTAGTTCTTCGGCAATTCTGAAACTATTGTAACGTTACGAATCGAGGTGGCGATGATAATTCAAAAATTATAACTAATCAATTTTTGCGATATACAAAGTAGATCATCAAATTGATGGTCAACTATCAGACAGCACCAAATTGAGCTGTTCTAGAAGAATTCCAATGATTAGTATCATGCTCTCTGGTAATTAGCAATAGGAAATGTAAAGCTAATATGAATAATTATCTCTTTATATCAAGCAATAATTATGTGGAAAACATGTTAATGAGGGTTCATATTTGGCACAATAATAACTAAAGTGTCCGAAAACTGATTCTAATGTATCAAAAAAGCATCTGTTTTTTTAGTGAGTACCATGAAGTGAATTCATAAACATTCTAATGAAATAAAGATCACTTTATCTTAAGTATCGCTTTCTTCAATGTTCACTTCAAATTTTTCCAGAGTGAAAATTCATTTTTAGATCAAAACTACTTTAAGAATATCCAAAAACCTAAGCTCAGAAGAAAGTATGCGATAAATTATCAGCAGTACACTGACTAAATCCAGGGATCTTTATATTCCCGTTAAAGTTGCAGTCTCCATTAGAATAGTTCCCACTTTTATCTTCACTATGAGCATTACCATTTTCATCATCGGTATATTTACTAAGTAGTATATTCGAATAAGTGTAATTATTTCTCTCGCTTGAAGAAAATAAAGAACCAAATAAAGAAAAAGGTCAAACTATTCTTTTTTCGATTAGTTTTGCTTTTATTTGAAAATAATCACGGAATTCGCTTCATTTTACCTTGTTCTCACTAAAAATATTTTATTTCGATCATGGTAACACTAATAAAATTCTGGATTTAGAATAATCAGGCTTGGTAAGTCAATGCCTCCAATAAGAATGCTTATTTCAAATGGATTGTAGGTTTCATTTCTTACTGAGAAACTTTTAATCAATATACAGGTATTTTTTTAATAATCGAGGTAGAAAATTTTTTCTTCAGCGAATAATTTATAAATCATCTATCTACCTACCTTAACCAGCGAACTAGCAGTTAGCGGTTGTTAAGAAATAATAGAACTGGTGTTTACTAGGAGCACTCTCTTATGTACAAAAAGTAAGCTAAACAGTCTTCCTTATAAGAGCAGAATGTGGAATGAACAGAAAATGAATTATTTTTAGTTAATAAATGTTTCTATTATCTAAGCTCGTAAGCGCTTTATGTTTTCATAGAGAAACCACTTCACAATAACTAAGAAATATTTATTTCGATATTCAAACTTTCACATCTTTTTATGACTGATACATTAAATTTTTAAAAATAAATTTTGTTCTTATAAGGAACACCTTTAAGCTGATTGTTTGTGCATAAAAGAGTGCTCCTAGTAAGTGCCACTTCTATTATTTCCTGAAAACTGCTGATTTCTACTTCATTTTAGAAGATAGATGAACTATTTATGCATAAATCGATCAAGAAAATATTTGTTTACTAGATAATGCAAAAATACTTGTATATTGTTTTAAAATTCACTGGTGACAATTGAAATTTTCCATATTTTTAAGATAGCTACTCTTATTAAAAAAATTGGCTGTGTTATTATTTCGAATTATTTGATTAGGTTGTCGAGACAGCTTTTCCAAACTTTATTAGTATCAAGGATTGATGACTCCATCTATCGAGCATTTTTACGATTAGACGAGGTGAACACTAGGAGAAAGCTTATGTGAAAATAAATTTCATACAGATCATTTTGTGATGATTCTATAGTATCTACAGTAATTTATCAGGAAATAAATTTAAAAAAATAGTTATTATAAAAATTATTTAGTTTCTTAGTTAATAGAATATGTATCTTTAGTTTCAGATTATTTAAACATTTTTATAATGAATTGGTCCTGTGCACAAGTTTTGACTTGGTGTAGATCGTTTATTGATGATGATACAATTATAAATCGTTTTCAAGGTCAGTTTTTTATTTTAATCTTGTAGACTTTTTTCTTTCTACTTCAATTTAATATGAATGTATTTTCTCAGCTAAAATCCTGTGAAGCTAGTATTATAAACTAATTCGCGACACAGTTGATTAACAAGTCTATCTTCTTTCTATTCGTTCAGTTTTTCTTCTATTTTTCTTTCAATACATCAAACGTGCGTGCGTGTGCGAAAAAAATGAATAAATCATTTTATACAGATTGTTATTTTGTGTTTCTTATTCTTATCACTTTTCTTCACATTTATTTTCTTTACAATTGAATAGCGCAGAAGAAATTTAAGAAAAACGTACACGACGTAATAGATCTACGATATAGTAATAAATTTAAGTATAAACTTCTATATTTGAATAATGAATATGTCATTATTTGTTTGTCCTCTTTGCTACACGAATTCGGAATTCTCAACTTTTCCCAAGTTCTTTCGTCACGTCACTCTGTACCATCAAAATGAACCCAAATTTAAAATAACTTGCAACTTAAATGCAACATGTGGGGTAGGTTATCGAACGTTTTCTGCATACAAGGCACATGTATATCGCCATCATTCCTCTCAACTTTCTTCATCAGCAAAGAATACTTCGAATATGAATCTTTTTCCTGTAAATGATCATCAACAAGAAGACGTAAAATTAAATATTGATTCAAATTTGATCTATGATGATAATGAAGATGAATCGTTGTACTTGAATAATGATATTTTATTGGAATTTGCAACATATAAAAATGAGAGCGAATATGGAAGAACCACAAACTCATTGTTGTCAACTGCAAATCAAGAAAAAAAGTCAGTATCAATGTTAGATATTAAACAATCTTACGTATCATTTATTTTACAACTTCGTGAGGAATTCTTTTTACCGAAAAATATTACTAATGCAATATCTTCTTACATTGTGACTCTCATAAATCATTTAGAAGTTTTATTTGAAGCACAAACGCGTACTTTTAATTATGATAATATCTGTTCAACAGCTCCGAGAGAAAAACCAACGGTTGAAACAATTGAATTAAATAAATTACAAAATATAATGAAAAATGTTTGTTATGAAATACAAAATATCACCAAAAATGAGTATCAATTTATAAAAAACTGTGAAGAATATTTTGATTATATTCCACCTAAAGAAATAATTATTTCAGCTAATAATGAAGAGTTAGAACAAGCATATTTTATTCCGATAGATAAAACATTATCTTTAATGCTACGTTCTCAACTTCTTCTTACTGAAATTCTTCAAAATATTCAACAACAGCGGATAGCAGTTAAAAATGATGATAATTTGATGCTGTCGTACCGAGACGGATCTTATGGTAGTAGAATTGATGACGATAGCTTGTTGATCCAATTGTACATCGATGATATAGGAGTGACGAATCCTATTGGTGCTAAAAAAGACCAACATAAGTTGTCGATGATCTACTTTTCTCTCGAAGACCTACCTGATCAATATCGATCGCAACTTGATTTTATTAACTTAGTTGGAATCTGTCAAAGTAAAATTTTAAAGGTAAAATCTCTTCTATTGAAATTTATTGTTGAGTATGAATTGCGGCGCTTAGAAGTTATTTTAATAATTCTAAAAGAAATTTCATTATATATAAATACATTATTTTGTTTTTAAAAAGCTACCTCTTTATTTTTGCTTCAATCAAAAAATAAGCTGGAGTTGATCTTAAACTCATATTACGTATTCGATATAGTCTGAGTTTTGTAAAAACATGTTTCACATGTTTAGTATATAACTCTCATAGGGACTGAATAAAGAATCCTAATAAATTCTTTGACGTCATTAACACTTTAAGAAAGTTAAAGAAGACCCTTGGGTAGACGAGTTTTATCTTAGAGTAACCAATCAGTTGAGTATAAATAAATTTTTATTTGCATCGCTGTCATCCGTGTTTTCTTGGTCATTTCAGTTTTTGTATTATTTCTTTTTCTCCGATGAACATTCTAATTATTTTCAGCAAATTTAAGTTAATAATAAATTTTTTAGATAGATACTATTAATCAGTTGCGGATGATTATGCACTAGTACGCGTCAAAACACTTCGAATCACAGATATTTATTATTTTCTAAATTTTTACAATATCATCGATTCAAATTTTTATCTTAATCATTCTGCAATTGTGTGAAATCAATTCATTAGTAGGAATCATTCGTAACATCGTGAATGTGAACTTTTTATCAGCTGAAAAATAGAAACTTCATTTTTTTATACATTCACTGATGTATAGCGTACTTTGGAAATTTGACGAAAGTCCTCCAATGTTCTAGATTTTCCTAAAACAGTTTAATTTGAATCTTTAATTCAGTTCCACTACGTTTTGATACTCCAGGCATTATTTATGAAGTTGAATTACGTGACACTTGATTGGTGAAGTTTGTGATAAATGGAGCTATAGGAATGTTTTGTAACATGGAATAGATTAACGTTACACCATCATACTATAGAAAACTAAAAATCATAAATATACTTTATTTTGAGGACAAAATGAAAGCCAAACGCTTCTTTCAACCGATTGTTGACAATTTGAACCAGTTGCAAGTTAAAGGACTTATCATTAATGGTTATCAACTTAAGTTTTCATTTTCTACGCTGGTTGCCGACAATTTAGCTGCACATATGATTGGTGGATTTCAGTCCAGCTTTAGTAGTGGATATTTTTGTCGAAGATGCTACATAAAATATGTTGATAGAAATTTACCTATTTTACTGAACAAAGCCCTTTGCAGAACAAGTATTGATCATGATGATCTTATTGAGCAAATTATTCTTACTCCTTTTAAATCACCGTTGATGGGTATCATTGGACAAAGTCCTATTCAAGATTTAATTGGTTTTCATCCAGTCATGTCACTTCCTGCAGATCTTATGCACGATTACATAGAGGGTGTTTGTCCTTTGGTAATGATGATATTACTTAAACAAGCATCATCTATGCGTCTTATAACTTACGGTGAGATATAAGGATTTCAACATGAAATATGACGGGAATTGACATAGTACTAAGCTAATTCTGCGGGTATCGTTGAAAATATCGAAATAACTGTCATTTGTGATTTTTCTGTGATCACTTAATTGAATGTTTTCCATCAGTCAAAATCAGGATAATTCGTTTATATTTTATTTTTGATAATTTAGATAAGTCGAGAATCAAAAGCTTTTCATGTTTACATTAGTTTCATCTACGTATTGAAAAAAATATTCGATCGATTAATAAACTTGTTTTACTAGACTTCATATAAAATGCTTTAATCGATATTATTTTTATATATTGTCTAGCGATTATTTAGCAAATGAATGTACGAAAATTTTCAGTATTGTATTAGGTCTATAATAAAGAATGATGAATTGATTTTGACACATCTAGCTTGTTATATCATGCCATCTCTTTTAGTCAATTTTTGTGTCCTTATCTTCTTTTCTTATCGAAAGAGAAGTGTTGATAATTCTATTTTTTGCTCCTATAAACTTCCGAATTGACTCATTCATACTGAATTAGCAATAAAGCAAAGGTCAAGTCATTTACTTCTTCTGAAAAAACGATTTCATTTTTTATGGTGCAGTAGATAACCGATACTAACGCCAAGATAAGTTTTTTTTATCGTCAACTGCAATAGTTAAAACGCCAAAAACTGCTTCGATCGATACAAATTTCGATTCTGAATCACTGTTCAAAGGAACTTAAGTTCTCATATGGAGAAATCTAATTTCATTTTCAATATTAGTAGAACTTCAATCTTTGCTATCAGTCTAAGAAAAAACGATAATTCAAATATATGATCAATCATAAATAGAATGCTATGTAAACACTTTTGACTTATCGAAATCATATTAAAAATATGCGACTTCATTGAAAGTAGCACGCATAAAAACAAATTACTAATGACTGCTAGTTCTCTTCGAATAATAAAATAAGACAGACAACTTGCTAATATAATTAGATGATAAAGTGTAATGAGTAAAACAATAGGGAGAAAATGCTACTGTACTTATAAGCTCGTTTAAGCCTGATTGATTTCTTAGGATAATATCTATTTTTTATCAAAAAGAAGTTATATATACTGTTTTAAAGTTGAATATATAATTTCGTGCTTTCCTCATTTTAAGCTGGCATTCAAAAATGTATGGAAAGTTTCCAGTATGGATATTTCGACGCCTGCAATCGACCTCCACCTATTCAAGTAAAGCATATGCAAAAAAATCGTATAGCTGCTACTGCTTCTCAAAAACTTTGTTTGTTTCGTCTTTTCCCTTTCATATTTAATGATTTCATACATGCTGTACCATCAATAATAGTTTATAAACAATTACGTGATATACTGGACTTAATATTATCGACACCATTCAGAAAGCAGTGGTTACCTGTTTTGCGAGATTTATGTATTGGTTTTCATGAATCGATGCTTTTACATTTCCCAACTAAAATGATACCTAAAGTTCATTTTGCATGTGAATATGATCAGATTATAAATGATTTTGGTCCATCAGTAAGACAATGGTGTTTCAGATACGAAGCATGTCACGCATATTTTAAAAAAATTGCACTCAGGTCGAACAATTTTAAAAATGTTCCAAAGATGTTGGCCACACGATACAGCTTGAAACAAGCTTTTAAACTATCTCGATTAACAAAAATGAAAAATTCACACTACGCAATAGGAATAAAGAATATCACACACCCTTTGTTTCCTAGACAGATAAAACAAATTTTAATTGATCATTTTGGTGTCATTAATCTTGAACAAGATCTTATTCACTGCAGCAAGCTGTTTCATGAAAATATTGAATACTGTAAATCATCTGTATACGTAACCGATTTGAGAAATCTTGATGAACAACCAGTATTTGGTCAAATTGTTTTCATTTTAAAAACGCAAGAAAAATGGTGGTTGCTGATCGACACATTGGAGACGATTGGTTATGATGAGAAACTATTTGCATGGGAAATCAAATCGATCGATCGTTTTTCTATTATTGATCCTGATAATTTGAAATATTATTATAAAGGACTAGATGTTTATGAATTGAACAATGCGAGTTTTGTTTCTTTTACTGCTCGCCTTACATTATACTAATAAACCTAGAATACAGAATGTATTTGAAATAGTTATAAAAAATGTTTCTGTATGAACCTATCTTTTAATTTTTTTTACATGTTAACAATATCTGAAATAGAGCATCAATCATTTTTATAGCTCTCTTCATTCCTGAAGTAGATGTTTGTTTAAATCTTAAAATTTATCAGAATCTTACCATGTTAACAACACCTGTTTATTTCTATTTATCTTTCAGAAAATGAAATTGATGGTCCGACTCTGGAGCTGATGGACAGCGTCGAGAAGATTACAAGTTTAATACCAAAATTCAAACAACAACTTCTTTTTCTCAAGGAACGTGAAAAGTTACTCACTAGAAGCAATGATGATTTGATACAATCTGATAATTCATCTTCAGTTTCTTCAAATAATCTTAACTTATCATCATCTTCTTCAGGATCAATATCTGACAATGTTTCAAAAGAATTTGTGAATAATGTGACATCCGCATCCGATCAATCATTAATTGTACAAGAAATTAGCGGATCATTTCCAGATAAATATGTTATTCCACCTATGCCAAATGCTTTAGCTAAAGATATACAAGAAGGAGCATTATATAAATTTGGTCCACATTGTTCTAATCGTCAAATTCTAATTGAATGTATTGTTGATGATATGATAAGCCAATATAACCTGTTGTAAGTTAAAATATCAAATAAGCTTATTTTGACATAATAATATATTTTTTCTTTTAAAAATCATTTACATTAGTTTCTATTGCATATAAGTCTTTGCAATAAGCGTCTATTACACTTACCAGTAATATTATTTTTTGTCGTTGTGATTCATTTTTTTTTGTTGTGATTCCTTAAATAAGATTTTTAATTCTTTTGAAATGAGAAACTACAAAACTAATTTAGAACACTGATTAAATATGTTTTATGATGCCTGAAAAAATTTTTGTGATGGAGATTGAGATACAATTTTAGTGCTGTATATTTAGATAAAATAAATTGAGACTCATCATATTATGATGATTTAGAATTCATTCAATTAAAAAAGATTGGGAGTATTAGCGCCCAATTGCATGTATCATTTTAAATACTGGCTTTCCATGAATAACTTGAGCGCTTTGTGACTACACGCGGTATTGATTTTTTTCGTCTATTTAGTTATCCTAATCACAAACAATTTCAAATTATCGGTGAATCCATCGTTGAATATTTAAAGTTACCATTAATACAACAAAATATAGTAAGTTTATCTGTATTGTTAAGTTCTTACATATAACTATATCAATTATTAATGAAAAGAGATGAGTATATTTTTAATTCTATTTTCAGAGCTTTTTCTTCGGATAGCCACTAACAAAATCAGAATAGAAGAATAAAAGATCTAATGTATTTAATGAAGAACTAGATGTTCCATTAACCTAGATAAAAAAAATTTCATTATGGATAAATATGTTCATTGTATATATATATATACTATTCAGCAGTAGGTTCAAAGAAAGCGATGCCAGATAGGTGTAGAAAAACCTTGATTGAATCAACTTGATTTAAAAAATTGAGTCAATTCTATCTTAATGATTTCTCAGACTCAAAATTGAGAGACATGATAAATCTTCATAAGTCTGAGATTTGAGAAGGATGTTTTCAAAAATAGAATCTAATTTTTATCCAAATTTCATAGTATATATAAGCATGACATAGATAATAATTAGAAGTGCAATTTTTCTTTTTCATACAGGCAATATGGAAAGATGCACTTCAAACAAAACTGAAAAGAAAAAGATTTGAGCATCGAGATAATGTCGATGTTCAGCATTATCAATTGAAGTATTCGCGTATTGGCTCTGGCCGTCCAGTTAAGAAACGAATCGGAGAGCTTGCACAAAAAGACAAGCAAAAACAAGTAAATATTGATTAGATATTCTTTTTTTTGTTTTTATTTCAGTCTCTTTTTAAGATTTTGTTATCGACCTATAATGATAAAGCATTACAAGAAATTCAAACAAAAGCTGAAAAGTTGCGAAATGTTTCTCAAATTGATTTAAGTACTCAACTTCAGATTTGGCAAGAAACTGTGCACTTTAGGCGGCAGTCTATCCGTAATAGACTTACAGCAGAAATTCTTAGAGAATTTCCAGGTTATTCAAATCCTCTCTTTGTAAATTATTTTCCAGATATTTTTCTTTCACTAAATTAATTAATTTTTATGACAGGTATTTGAAGAAGTCAAAATAACTATGAACGTTGATTTAAGTGCTGTCGTCAGACAACAGATACCGGTGTTACTTGATAAAATGGTTGAAGTACCTGCGTTTATAACTGGTAATTACATTTTTAGGTTAATTTATATTCTAATGAGTCATTCTTGATTCTAGATTCACCAGCTATTCGACTCGTTAAAGTGCTATGTCGACATTTTGATGAAACTGTACATCACACGTTTTCTGATACAGTAAGATTGTTTTTGATTGTTTTCCCAGGAGATTCTTCCATTAGTACTGCATATGACTTCGCAAAATGTTATAATATAAATCAATCTACGTAAGTTTCAGAACTAGAAAGTAGTTTATTGATAAAAAAAGTAACGATCTATACGAAGCGATCGTAGTTAATATTTCCGAAATTATTAGTACTTTTCCATAAGAAACCCAACAAAATGTTATACGACAGACTTGTATTCACAGGCGAAATTGTATAGAAGCAATTTTTTCTTCGTGTAAGCTCATGTTATCACCAAATGAAAGACAGTTAACATTTTTTAACAATAATATAGAATTCAAAAATAATGATTAGCTGATATCGATACTTACAATTTGATACTTTTATTCCGATCCATCATCTATTTCTATCTTCTCTTAGTGACGATTAAATAGATTTGCAAAAGCATTCAAGAATACATGCTTGGAGTTTAATGAATCTATTTATATTGTAGAGAAATTTGTAATCCTATTATCTCTACTTCTTAATAGTGTGATGCTATTCGATGCTTTTTTTTCTGATTAATGATATCAGCTTTCCAAAGTTTATCTAATGACTATCATAAAAATTTGATATTTGCGAATAAAAGCGAATTTTCACTTGAAAAAGTTTTTTTTGGTTAGTTGAAATATTGCTAATTTTTTTATTTAAACAATGACTGAATTGATGTATAAATAAATATAGATATTTTAGTAACCAACTTTACACGCTGCATAAAATAACAGATAGTAGAAAAGGTTTAATTGAGTTTTGAGTTTTCGAGAACATTTTATTACCTAGCTGATGATGTTCGCATAAGTTCCTAAAGAAAATAAAAAATAAAAATCAAATTATCAAATTTTTAGCAATGAAAAGCTTGCTAGAACTTTCATTCTTTTGTTTTTACGGTAAAATTGTTTGAACAACTCACGCACCATTTTCTCAATGGAAGACTGTAAATAAGCTATCAGTCTCCATGTTAGCAGTGCATGTCTCATGACTATAGATTTTTCGCGAAACTTTATATAATACTGCCTAGAAATTGTCGAGCAGTCAGAAAATATTTTTTTAATGAGACCTATGCACATATCAACTCTATGAATGTTAATATTTTTCAGGAACCATCAACGCCATATCCAACATTAATTTTTATTAATGATCAAATTCATGTTTATGTTGATTTTATTCCAATTGTTTCAACAACATCACCAGATGATGCTGTTGCACTTCTTATCGCAATGTATAGCATATTCGAATTGAACTTTAACAGAAATAGTCGTGCAATACGATTCCTTTATTCAATTCTTCATAGCGATAAACGTTTTCTTTCTAATGCCATGCGTCTGTTAATCAAAGAGAAAGATATTTCTATTTGTAAGGAAATAAATCAAGAAAAAAATTCATCTTCACATGACATTTGTACAAATTCAACGGTGCTTGTGAGCGATTCACAAATCTCAACAAATATTAACATCATCACAGAAGCTACTTCTATCAATGAAGAAAATGAATATGATCCTCCAGGTGAAACGAATTCATGTTCTTCCAACTATGCACTTAATTCAAATATAAAACGGTTGATTAATGCAAATGAGTGAGTTCTAAATTCATTATGATCTCTCTTCACAGACCTTGATTTTATTCCTCATAGATCATCACAGAATGTCACAGAAACATCTTCTTCGTTAATTGATTCTCAAAATCAGAAAATTATTTCTCGCAAACGAACACAAGGACATACCACTATGACAGAAGAGAATCAGAATTCTATTGTTGTCAACTATGATGAAGAAGATCATGATCTTCAAGAAAATATTATACCATCGAATGATTCAACATCCGATATTGTTATTCGAAAAGTCAAACGAAAACGCCGTTATTAATATATATTATTCAAAAGGACAACTTGGAGAGATTTTTTTCTTTTTAATTATACTACATTATTTTACAAATACTAGAGGTTGTTCATAGACAACATCGAAACTGAATACCTAAGGACACGTGTAGAGAAGCATACTCTTTGTACATTCCCACATCTTCAACGAGTCACATATTTCAAATCAGCAACGAATGAGGACCCAAGTCATTTACTTCTGCTGAGACAAATGAAATTAGTTTTTTTCGCAAACGCAAGTAACTTCATTCTCAATTCACTGTTGATTTGAAATATGTGACTCGTTGAAGATGTGGAAATGTACAAAGAATATGTTTGTCTATACGTTTTCTTTCTCGCGTATTTTTTTTAATGCAAAACAATAAAACGTGATGAAGTAGCTAGTTATAATATTCAGATATTATTTTCGTGTAACAGCAGGGCGAATCACTCACCAAACAAAGCTTTAAAAGGCGAATTTATCTATCGCAATTATATATAAAAAAATAATTCAGATCCTCAAAGAACGAACATTAAATACTAATGGAAAGTTTGTTTCACAATCATCAGCCGCTCGTTTTAATATATTTCTGAAATTTAATTATCGGGCAATAATGATAACGTTATTTCAGGATATAATATCTAATTTGACAATCAAAATTATTTCAACTCTATCATTATTAATTGAGAATAAATGAACAGCATATTTTATTTTTTATTTTATTTTGAGTATATTGATTTTTTATTCATGTCACTATTTTTGTTTAAAAAAAAAGAAAAATCTATATGAGCATGTATAGCTTTTCCTTTG